TACGGCCGAGGGCCCAACGTGCAGCTGCGTGACGTACAAGTCAGCCCTGTCCGCCTTCGACTTAATATCGAGGGCCTCGGTGTTTAGCCAGGTGTACCCCTCTGGCATTTCAACAGGCCCCCCGGCACCATCGGCCGCACTCTTCTTCTTAGGGGCAGCCCTCTGCGACTTTGTCTTCTTTTTACCGGGGGCTATCCTCAGAGGCGTCGGGTCCAACGGCCTGGAGGTGCTAGGCTCACCACAGTCAGTCCGAGGGGGTGGCACAGCAACAGTAACCATCATCGCCTCCTTTTGAGCTTCGTCCTCCGCCACCTGACACGCGAGGGCTAGTTCTTCATCTTCGCACTCCTGTTCGAAGCCCTCGGCATCCACCTCAGCAGCCAGGGCCTTCTGCAACTCCAAGGCCACCGCTTCGTCGTCGGCAACCGAGGGCGCACTGCTGCTTGACTCGACATCGGAAGCAACCTCATCCTCAACCGAGGGCTCCCTCGATATATTCTGGGAATCACTCTCGGACGACATTCTTTGCCAAAAAAATGTGCCTAAAGTTTCGAAGGATTTCTACGGAACCCTAACCCTAAACTAAGGCCAGAGGGTGGAACTTGCAAAAAGTGTTGAGGAGCGAAGGGAGAACTAACCTCTGGAAGTGTTGTGACCGAGGGCTCGAGTTTCTCTCTCTAGAATTTTTGGCAGAGCTTCGCTAAGGATTTTTGAACGCGTAAAGAAGGAATGGCTCTGGCTCCGGGGCATTTATAGACCCCAGAGTCCGGGCTTGGGCCCGAAAACCGGGCCTCCGGGTGGACGCCATCATTACACACCGCATCTTCACCCAACCCATGATGCCGCCCACGGACAGCCAGCCATCACACGCCACGTGTGCCACCCCCCAACGACTATATCCTGTCGTTACGTATTCCAACGGCTATATTTCCAACGGCTATATTCTGGAAGCCCCGGGGTTTTCTACTTCACTCCATTTCATCAAGGATAGCCTCCGGGTACAATCACTCAGAAGTGCCCCCGGGTTGCGCCCCACACAGCACATAACAGACGCCTTCGGGATCACTCCTTCAGATCCCCAGGGCTGCATATCAGGGGACCCCTCGGGGATCCCCCCTCAGCATTGCAAAACCGGGTAGCCCCCGGGGAGTGGCCTCATTGACGGATGACCCATGACACACAGGCAATGGGAGCCCTCGGGTATCTTCATCACCAACTAATCAACAAACAGTGGACCCCCCGGTAACAACTTCACTGCTGCCCTCATCTGGCAGGCCCTCGATCCCTGGATTAAGGGGTTCCCCTCCGGCGCCACCAGGACATCAACAGCAAGCCTTCGGCTAATCAACACAGGAGCCCTCAGAAGAGAGAGCCTCCGGCATTCCCGCCATTCTCCATTTTTTACCAAGGTTTGACATTTTCGATTCATCATTGGGGGAATTCGGTGCACTCTTTTTCCCTCATTAGGATTTTTTACCAAAGGGTTTTTCCTAATGAGGTTTTTAACGAGGCATCCCCCCAAAATGAAACGAAAAGTGTCAGCCTTCGGCCCACAACAGCAACGTAACTACTTTACTCCTTTTCACCACTTTACAAGTGCCTCAAGGAGTGGGGGACTGGAGGACCCCCTCGGGAAAATCATTAAATTACAAAATCTGTGAAATTCCAACAAACAACAAAGCAAGCCCTCAAGTCCCGACATGTGGGTAACTGAGGGACTGCCTTCGGCAGGGACATAAAAGCAACAACTCCTCACCAACTTCAGAGATCACGACAGGACAACATCAAAGGGCAAACACAAATTACTCCTTTTCCCTCAAGTACCTTTCGACAAAAGGAGTGAGGGACTCCTGATGGAGTATATGGCCCGGGAACCCCCGGCCCACAGACTCCTACTACTCCAGCGAAGGCCCAACAGGCCCAAAAGGCCCAACAGGCCCAAATCACAGCGCCCAGAGTACCGAGCAGCCCGCACAATGCACAGGGGTGCCTTCGGTCCCCTGGCCGAAGGCTCCAAATTATCACAGAGCGGGTTTCTCAAGCAAATTAGGAAACTGGGAGAAAACGGCGAAAACAGTAGCCCTCGGCATTGTGAGCCCTCGGCACCAGGGTGCCATCGGGTGGGAGATCCCTCGGTTACTGCTCTACGGCCGAAGGCACCTCACTCGACAAGATATCTGCCTCACATGCGTACAGATCACCGTACCCCGCACAGACGTCCCATCCAACAGCCGCATTAAATGCGGCCACATGCGGCTGCCAGCGCCAACCAGTTGAGGTGACCCCTCGGCCAATGAGCGCTTGACACGTGTCCCTGCCCGACATTTATTGCTACTATAAATAGCACCCCATTTCCCCATTTGTAACCACGCTGAAAACGCTCCACATTGATAATACACCCTCTCTCTCTATATTCACTTGCTCTAACTTCTCTCTAGGTTACTCCCCGCGATAACCCTTCGGATATATACCCCCGAGTAGACTATCCATCAGATATGCTGATTTTTCTCTCTCCAATGTAGTGCTTTTAGGTATAGGATGGTGATTTTTTTTTGCGGAAAGTGAAATTACATTTTAGGATTTTAGGCATAGAATGCTTCGTCGAGAGAATTTTCTCTCTCTAGTGTATTGCTTTTAGGTACAGGATAGGTATAGGATAAGCGGAGAATGCTTAGGTGGGAGAATTTTTTCTCTCCAGTGTAGTGCTTTTACGTATAGGATAATGATTTTTTTTTGCGGAAACTGAAATTACATTTTAGGATTTTAGGCAGAGAATGCTTCGGCGGGAGAATTTTTTCTCTCAAGTGTAGTGCTTTAAGGTATAGGATAAGAGGAGAATGTTTGGGCTGGAGAATTTTCTCTCTCAAGCGTAGTGCTTATATATATATATATATATATATATATATATATATATATATATATATAATAAGAAGACATCTATCTATCTATCTATATATATATATATATATATATATATATATATATATATATATATATATATAGAATAAGGATCAAATGAGAAGACATCTTAACGTAAGAAGTGAGAAGCGTCACATTTGGCTCTTTCTGATTCACTTTTGCGCTAATCTGATGCACTTTTGCGATCGCGGAAAAGTTACGATTAATTAAAAAAGTGATGCAATTCGCGGTGGCATTTCCGTAATTAATCAGAACTTTTCTGCTATCCCAAAAAGTGCATCAGATTAGCGCAAAAGTGCATCAGAAATAGGCAAATGTGAAGCTTCTCACTTCTCACGTTAAGATGTCTTCTTATTAGAACCCAACCCTATATATATATATATATATATATATATATATATATAGGTTTTGGTTCAAATAAGAACATGATCTTAGGAGAGAAATAAGAATGAATCTGGACCGTTAGATTGGGTTTAAGTGAAATTCAATGTGCATTAGATGACACTATAATGTGCATTCGGTGAAATTCAAATGTGCAGCACAAAGGTACGATATAGTAGGCATTATGTGAAGCTAAATTGTGCATTATATGAAATTGAAATGTGCACCAGGTAAAACTGAAATGTGCAGAATAAAAGGTTTGATGTAATGTTATTTTTGTACCTTTTATTTTGCACATTTCAGTTTCACCTAATGCACACTTGAGTTTGAATTTTTATTATGCACATTTCAATATCATCTAATACACGTATCAGTTTCACCAAATGCACAATTCAGTTCCCATAATACAATCCAACGGTCCAGATTCGTTCTCATTTCTCTCCTAAGAGTCCGTTCTTACCCGAACCGCTCCCTATATATATATATATATATATATATATATATATATATATATATATATATATATATATATATGGTTCTTTTTTTTGCGGAAAGTGAAATCAAATTTTAGGATTTTAGGCAGAGAATTCTTCGGTGGAAGAATTTTCTCTCTCCAGTGTAGTACTTTTAGGTATATGATGATGATAAGCGGATAATGCTTGGGCGGGAAAAATTTCTCTCTCCAGTGTAGTGCTTTTAGGTATAGGATGATGATGATAAGCGGATAATGCTTGGGCGGGAAAAATTTCTCTCTCCAGTGTAGTGCTTTTAGGTATAGGATGATGACGATGATGATGACATGCTGATTCTTTCTCTCTTCAATGTGGTGATTTTAGGTATAGGATGATGATTTTTTTTGCGGAAAGTGAAATTACATTTTAGGATTTTAGACAGAGAATGCTTCGGCGGGAGAATTTTCTCTCTCCAGTAGAGTGCTTTTAGGTATAGGATAAGCGGAGAATGCTTAGGTGGGAGAATTTTCTCTCTCGAGTGTAGTGCTTTTAGGTATAGGATAAGATATATAATGATTTTTTTTTGGCGGATAAAGAAATTACATTTTAGGATTTTAGACGGAGATTGCATAGACGGGACAATTTTTTATTTCTCCGGTGTAGTACTTTTAGGTATAGGATATGCTGATTTTTTGTCTCTCCAGTGTAGTGCTTTTAGGTATAGGATGTTGATTTTTTTTTTGCTGAAAGTGAAATTACATTTTAGGATTTTAGGCAGAGAATGCTTCGGTGAGAGAATTTTCTCTCTCCAGTGTAGTGCTTTTAGGTACATGATGATGATAGGTACATGATAAGCGGAGAATGTTTATGTGAGAGAATTTTCTCTCTCCAGTGTAGTGCTTTTACGCATAGGATGATGATTTTTTTTTTGCAAAAAGTGAAGTTACATTTTAGGATTTTAGGCAGAGAATGCTTCGACGGGAGATTTTTTTCTCTCCAGTGTAGTGCTTTAAGGTATAGGATAAGCGGAGAATGTTTGAGCGGGAGAATTTTCTCTCTCAAGCGTAGTGCTTTTAGATATATATATATATATATATATATATATATATATATATATATATATATATATATATATATATATATATATATATATATATTATATACCTAAAAGCACTACATTGGAGAGAGAAAATTCTTCCGCAGATATATATATATATATATATATATATATATATATATATATGATTCCTTTTTTTGCGGAAAGTGAAATCACATTTTAGGATTTTAGGCAGAGAATTCTTCGGCGGAAGAATTTTCTCTCTCCAGTGTAGTGCTTTTAGGTATATGACGATAAGCGGCGAATAATGCTTGGGCGGGAAAATTTTCTCTCTCCAGTGTAGTGCTTTTAGGTATAGGATGACGATAAGCGGAGAATAATGCTTGGGCGGGAAAATTTTCTCTCTCCAGTGTAGTGCTTTTAGGTATAGGATTCAAGTTTCACATAATTTTATAATATTCTCAAATTCATCGATCTTCTTAAAACAGAACCATATGTCATTTTTTCCTTTTTCTCACTTGATTTTTTCTCTTTTTGTTTAATCATTTCGTCACTTTTTTATTTCATCTTCTCATCAATTTTATTGTGTAGATTTTCCAATCAATATTTCTTTCTTCCTCCTCTTCCTCATAGTACTATTCAGTTAACTTTCTTTAAAAAAACTTTATTCTTTTTTATTTATATTTATTTTTATTTAAATTTTGTTCTTCTTTTGTTCTCTTTTTTTTCTCTTTTAGTTATGTTAAAGTCATTATGTTTCTCTTAGTTCTTCTCTCCATCTTTTTTCTAGTTTTTGACATGTTAGTGATTTGTGACTAGTGTTTAAAAGGCACGAGGTGTGACAAGACGTCGAGGTCAAACCTCAAACGAGTCGAACCTTTGAAGCTTAGTTGGGGATAAGCAAAGCCTAGGCGGGAATATAATAGGCGAAACCTAGACGTGAAAACGCATTTTATATTTCTATTGAAATTTACTTTCATAATGATATTTACTGTTTCTAGAATATACTTCGTACTATTATACAAGATTGGGCCTAACTTTTACTTCATCAATATATAAAATTTTTAAATATATAAAAAGGTGCAAAAACAAAATGATATAGTGTTGCTTTTACTACTTTGTACTAGATTCCACATATAGTACTTTTTACAAAATACTAGATTTCACATAATTTTTTTTAGTTTGGTCAAGTTTTTCTTTGCACAAAAAAACATCCAAAAAACTCCTATTTTTTCATGTCTAGACACGCTCAAGCTTACGCCTTGTCACGTTTTTTATGATCGGCCTTGTTTGGCACTGAGCGGTTAGCGGATAACGGATATGGTTAGCGACTAGTAAATAGCGGATTCAATCAGTGGATTTGACATGCGGGTTAGCTTGGTGGGTTGAAGAAAGATGTTCGGTAACTTAGTTGTTTGATTGTAGCGCGGATAATATGTAAAAAGACAAAAAAATGACATTTTAATTTTTTGCATATATTTTTTATTTTGTTTAATATGAAGTTATGATTGTACTAATTCATCAATTAAAATTAACTACATAAATATTTACTATACTAATTCATCAATTAAAATTATATGTGAGTAAATTAACTAAATAAAAATTAACTATACTAATTCATCAATTAAAATTATATGTGATTAAATTATTTTAAAATTAACTTAATAAAAAATATGAACATAAAATACATCAATTAACTACACCAATATTAAGAAGTAATATGGTGAATTGCAATATTTTTAATATACTACGAATAAAATCCCTATGACATCAAACTAGAAGCAATGCTATCACGAATGGTCGCCATCTGATGATTTCTCATTACATCATCACCTTGTGTGGTATTAGCTCGAACATCTTGAATAACATCAGGGGTATAAATTCAGGATCTTCATTAATGAAATCAAAAGTTGGATCAAGTTTGCTATTTCTTATATAGTTGTGTAATGCAAAACATGAACATATAATTGTGTTTTGATCCACTAATGAATAATTTGGCATTTTTGTAATATGTTCCAGCGAGCCTTAAGAACATCAAACGCTCTCTCAATACAACTTCTTAAGGATGAATGTGCCCGGTTAAATACTTATTGAAATCCTCTTGATCTTGATCCATGAAACTCATATTGATGGTATCGTGTTTTAGGGTACGGAGTCAAGCACCTATATCTTTCTGGATAGTCTTTGTCATTTGTCAATCAAGTAATACTTTTCTAAGGAAATAAAAGCAACAAGTATAGTTAAAATTAAAAGTGTAAATTAAATGATATATGGTATTTAAAAAAATAGTGAGGTGCCTTTTGGTGGCTTTGGAAAATTAAGGCTTGGATTGTTCACTGTGTCTAGGAATATGCGTGAATCATGTGTTGATCCCTCCCATCATGTTAGAACATATGTGAATAGCAAATCAAAGTCGCAAACTGCTAGAACATTTGTGGTTGATATTCCCTCTCTTACTTGATAGCACATTTGATCCTCCTCGAGTACGATTATTACAATGTGTGTACCATCAATAGCTCCAGTGCTATCCTAATATAATAATTCAATTATCATGTTTAATCAATGTACACATTTACCTTGAAATGTGGCATATATCTATCATCATTGGCAATTTGTGAGGGAATTTGTTTGAAATCGGGATCTTTTGGGGCTAGTATGTCCCAACAAAGTCCACCCATGACATTCAAAACTTCTTTGAAAATTCTACTAACAGTTTCGCAAGAATGTTGAAAACGTTCTTGGGTATCTCTATTGGAAGCACTCTTACTTAGTACGTACATAAACGAACGAACCCACTTTCTCCAAAACTGAAACCTTACATGAAGGCCTCAAGCCATACTTATTGTCTAAATCCGCACATACATGACGAAATGTATTTTGAGTCATTCTAAATGCATTAAAACATCGTTTTTCATGGCCATTTAATACATCATTCACCCATCATTCTCCAATCAAATAAGACTTCATACACGGTTCCTTGTATATGTTTTTAAAACAGTAGTCACACATATATGTTGACATAGAAGTCATCATGTCCAAATATTTACTATCTATTTCAAAGTATTGTTGCCATAAGACATATTGTTGCTTAAATAGGAGAAGAAAATTTCTACTTTGCATGTCGTAGTTATCCATGAACACTTACAATCAAACATGTATAATAAAAAGGTAAAATTTTGAAATTAAAGTTATTATTGATAACAACATTGATGTCACATAAATGCTTAAATATGTTTAGATCACAAAACACCCCTATGTTTAAATATGCTTAAAAGTTCACAAGAAGTTTTAAATGTGCTTAAATGTCTAGTGAAAAAGTTAAGATACATTTCTCTAATGCTATGTGATACTAGTCGCACTTTTCTTATGCTCAGTATACATAAACTGAATATAAGCAACTCGACTTTCATCATGCGGTAAAGTGAATAAAATAGTCCTCTTTTGGGGGTCCTCCAAAAGTGAGCAAGCAAATAAAAACTTGGGATCAAGTGCATCGAGATCAGGTAAAGCGCACAACTTTTCCATAACATCTTCAATAATATACTTTGACGTATGAGCATCCATTGAATTTATAACACTCATATTCACATTAGTCATGTTCTTCACTGAAGTTGCAACTTCCTCATCAACTTTATTTCTCGCTTCAAATTGTTGCATCATACCACTTAACATTTTTTGAAAAGTTGAAGTCGCACTTTTTTGCTTTTGCACTTTTAGTGTTTTTGAGACGAGCCGCCCTCTAAAATTCTCTTACCTTCTTTATGATGTCTCTTTCTATATAAGTCTCTTCATGGGGAGCTACATGAAAAGAGGTAGGCTAGGGCTAAGATCTCTCCACATATCATTCCAAGTCTCATTTCTCACAGAGTTATTGTCCCCGTAATAGTTCTTATATGTCTCATCAACGCTAACACGGGGAATATGGGTATTAGGTGGACACACAACATGCGTGTCACAAACTTCATCTTGCAAAGGTTGTAGTAAATTAGATACTGGGTTGTACTTAAGATTCTCATTCACATAACTCCCAAAAAATTGTTCGAATTTACATTCAAGCTTAGGCTCAATTCATTCTTTTCTAAATTGTTCCAAATTTGGATTTTCCTATAATAAAAATACATAAAATTTTAAGTTGTCTCGGGTAAAGTATACGAACTAACTAAACTAAAAAATATAAATTAAAATAAAATGTCACTAACCTCAGTTTTTAATGTTCACCGTTCATCAGTAGCTCCAATAGTTCCCTTTAAATGATCCCACCCTAATCTGGTAGATTTGGACTTCAATTGCTTCCATAAAGTCCATCTATCTCTCATCCAATAAATCTTATTTTTGAGTTTGTTTTTATCCCATGGTAAGTTAGTTTTTCTCTTAAACTCCGACTCAATTTTCTTCCACACCAACCTCTGTGATACAATTTCACCATTTCCCCCCTTACGTATGTCTACATATTGGATACAAAGATCACAAAACAAATGAAGTAATTCTTTAGTCTAATTAACCGTCCCTCCATTACTTTCATCCTTCTCCATTTATGTTCTTCGACTTCCTTCTATAAATTTCTTCTGCGTTAGGACCATCTATAAATTAAAAATGGTAAAGACTTTTTTAGTGTGCTTAAAACTTTATGTTTATCCAATTCTTCTACATAATTACTACGAAATGGGAAAGTACAAGTAAGTTCATTCTCTCATGAAGGAGAACTCGAAGCAACAAAACTCATACCAAAATACCTTGTGAACCCCATTTGAACATAAACTTTAAATTGATCCCAATAGATGTATAGTTTCTAACTATAATTGATGATAATGTGAGAAATGCAGTAAAATGCATGGGCGGGGGTATGAACATATGGATTAATACACATAAAATAAATACAGTCTAAAAAAATATTGTTGGCGAGATAGATTTCTACATGTATGTTAGACAATTTGCATGTAAGTATTCAATATTAAAATATAATTTGGCCCTCAAAAAGAAATCAATTTTGTTGAATTAGGTGCTCAAACTATGAGATATACTCTTTCTTGGTCTTAGAGAGTCACTTAAATCACTTAACTGCCTAACTTAACACAAAAAGGAATACTCCCTTCGTCCCACTTCAAGGTTCCCACGCGGTTTACGATATTTGACTTACCATAAAGTTAACTGATCTCTGTCATTGATAGAATTATTTTTAGTAAATAAATTTTACATATTCAGGAACTACATTAAAACTACTACACATCCTGCAAAAATAATTTAAATATCATAAAATTTTTATATAAAAAGTAAAAGATTAATAACAATGCACGTTGACCGGAGAATAGTGGATGAGAACTTTTAAATGGGACGGAGGGAGTACAACATATATTATCATCTTGGTAGACCGTATTTCAATATTTTAGAGCAACATAATAGACAACTAAGCCTTGCTATCCCTAGTGAATATATAAAATACGCATAATAGATAACCTTTACTTCTAGTAATATACAAACAACAGATTCATTTGCTTTTAGTAATACACCAAAAATAGTGAACCTTTGCTTCTTGTAAGTTACTTATCTGATTTTGTTCACCATTTTGTATAGCTTTTATTATTATATAATAGGACAAACACACACATGCATATGTCAAACCCATGCACTATATAAATTACCCTCCAACCATACATAACAGATATCTTACGTATGACTTCTAGTAATATCAAGTTGAGTTGCCTTAAGAAAGGCAAAACAGTCTAGCCTGATATGTAGCGGTATGGGCATGGAACACATGCATTTTCATATGGAGTGCAGAGTATTACATAGCTATGAGATTACAAATAGAAATACCAATCAAACCATACAAATCAAATAAGTGCATACATTAGTTAAGGGCACAATACAATCTTCTTAACCAAGTACTTAGGAGTAAACTAAGAAAATTTTACTAAGATCATTCTCTGACCCCATCCAGATATATAATACTGTCCTCACATATATGGAGTTTGGAAACAATTCCATGCAGTCAATGAGTGAATTACTACTATGTTGCAACTTTATAGTCCACCCTAGCTATCCTCAGTACTTGTCCACATTTTATATGAATAACTACAAGGACACGTTAGCTATCAACATTGAACACATATTACATAGCCATGACATATTTTTTTCCCAATCTACAACAAACTAGTGTCTGCTACCTGTCCAAAATAGGTAGACTATTTAAAAGAGTGGTATTCAAAAAAGAAGACTTCACCCAACAGTAACCCATACGTAAGTTGCCAATTCACAAAAGTCATAGTTACATGTAATGTTCAAAGGCTTCTCCGCTAAACAACATTCATGTCAAACAACAGCCATATGAATCAAAGCAAGACCCAAGCAGACTGTTATAGAGGAGAGGATTAACACATACCTTTGAGAGGGAAACCATGTTAATGAAGAGAAAAAGCAGAGTCCGTCGTGCTGAGGAGAGGAAGCAATGAACGGTACTTCAAGCGGCTGCAACAAAAAGAAAATAGGAAGGTAAGTCGGTGAGAGGGAAATTGCGTGAATTCAATAATGATTTCAAACCACCAAAACCTAAACACTCTGATTCCCAGCGTTTTGGTTTCCAGCGGTTTCATCCAACACGCTATGCGCAACCTCTGTTTACCAAACGCAAAAAAATAGCGGGTTGGCCGGTCCAAAATGCTGAAAACGGTCAAACCCTCTTTTTTTTTGCTGAACCGTTGGTAAACAAACACACCCATCATCTCTTCGATTGACTGCTTTTTTCATGCCTTTTACTCTAGGAGGCGTTTTCTCGCACCTCACACCTAGGTGCACCTAGGCCCGCCTTTCCCCGACTTTTAGGACAATGTTTCGTGACTTGTTGTTTTGGGTTTGTTCTTACTCTTCCCCCTTTTAGCTAATTTATGTCCCGTCTATCATTTTTCGTGTAGTGTATACATAGTTTTTTTCTTGCCTTTTCCTGGTTGTTGTATTTCTCTTTGTGTTTTTTCCTGTTTTTTTTTTTCACAAAGAAAAATACAATGATGCAAAAAGGAGAAACAATATAATGATGTTGGAATTAAAACTATAACAAGAAAGGAAAGACGAAAGAAGATAAAACACAAAAAGTAATGAGGTGGAAAAGTGGAGAAAGTAAAAACAAAAAGCAAATAAAAAATATATATAATAAAAGCTTAATGAAAAAAGTTCCTTTATAACAAAAAGAAAGTGATAAAAAAGAGATATATAAAAGGGGGGAAGAAAGTTATCAAATTTTAACAATTTAGAATGAGATGAATTTAACAATATTAAAAAAAAATATAGTCAAATTAGAACATGTGAATAGTGCAAAAAGTTCAATGTTTCAATTAAAAGCGAATGGAGCTAGTACTATTCAACATACACCGTTGCACATGTTTTGAAAAAGATATGTAGTTTTACAAAAAGACCCCTTAATCAAATACCCCGAGTACGAAACAAATAAAAAACGCAATGTAGCGCTGCGTATTTCCATTTGAAAAACAACGAAAAAAGTGAGTTCTCCAAATTAAGAAGAAAACCAAAAACATGTTTGTGTTTTTCAAGTTTTGAAGAGTCAACGTGTAAACATGTTTTCCAATTTTTCTCTCTCCAATATTCCAATTTCTTGGAAAAGTATAAAATATTCGTATTAGTAGATGAGGCCTAATTATCTACTTTTTAACCCCTCAATTTGGGCATTTAGAAAAGAGTAATTCTATTCACAACCCCCACTTTGCTATTTACAACTACTGATGAATTATTTATTAATAAATAAACATCATTAAAAAATAAAACGACTCTTTATATTAATACACTAAAACTCTAAAATAGCATCGTAAATTTATAACGATTTTACATAATTTGTTTATTAGTAATTTTATTTACCACCACCAAATCAAATATCACAAATCATGGTATTTAAAATATCTAATGTGCACATTAAGTAATAAAGTACATTATTTCAATACACTTAATACATATCTGAGATTTAATATATTTAATATAGTCGTGTTTGTGATCTTTTATAACAATGACTTTGTATACTTTTCAATATTGTATTAGTTGATCAAAGGAGTGACTAATTACTTAATAGCGTGATAATACACGCATATGAATTATATAAAACAATTTCTTTCAGTTAGGATTAGTAAAAAATCTCCATATTTTATACATTATATATATGTATTGTTTAGATGGGTAATAGAATGATATATATTTGGTTGGAGACTTGTAAAAAAAATATAGTTGCAGACTTAAATGATTAATATTAATATAAACTGTAGCGATTATAAACAAAAGGGAGAAAGACAAAAAATGACATCAAGTTTTTTAATGAAGCTCGGATTAGATACTAAAGTTTTAAGTAGACCAAATAAACACAAAATTATAGTTTTGGTACCATTTGACCACCCTTTAACGCCTCTGCTAAACAACCCTTTCGTGTCCTTAACTCCCCATCCGATTAAAGATGGCTTGGATTCATGAGAGCAGACAACAATGGCATGGATCTGGATTAAGGAGAGCAGGTCAATCGCCCTGCCTCGAAGATTACCTCCGCGTCACCGCACCGCCACATCATCGAAGCCGCCGCTGTGTCAAAGCCTACCCATTACCCATCGCGGGCTTCACCATCGCAGAATCGCGACATCACCGAAGCTATATCATCCGCCGTTGTTTCATCTCTGCTTCGATGTCGAAGATCTAGATCTGACCGTGCTCCGTTCGATCTGGAGCATCTCACTGGCAGCTAGGGGTGGGCGACGGTGCGGTTGTAGACAACGACAATAGGTGAGGAACATCGTTGGGCTGGTGACGAGGGCTATGAGGCTGGGGGGGGGTGAGGGGTTGTGGTTGGGGCTCATGTGAGGATTGGTTTGGGAGCTCGGGCTAGGGAGGTGTGGATCGGGGTTTGGCTGCTCATATCTGGAGCTGTGGAGGTGGCAAGGGCGGACATGGGCTGGGTGTTGGACTGGGGTGGGGTAGGGGCTAGTGTAGGGGTCACTTGCAAGGGGCTTTTGGAATGATGAGGAGTTAACGACGGGGAAGGGTAGTTTGATAGAGGCTTTAAAGGGTGGTCAAAATGGAATCAAGAACTATGATTTTGTGTTTATTTGGTCTATTTAAAACCGAGCTTCCTTAAAAAACCTTAGGTGTCATTTCTGGAATTTCTCCCTAAACAAAATGGGTTGAATCATCATTATAAACAGGAGTATTTTTAATAATGTATTTTTTTATAATTAATTGGTGATTGTGAATAAGAAATTGTGGACCTTGAATAGAATTAGCCATATTGAAATGGTTAAGTTAGGGCAGTGCCTTATGTAAAGTTGGTAAGGCTGGGGCGTGAGGCCCAAAAAATCAAAGTTAGGGCCCAAAATTAAGCCTGTTAATTGCTAAACAATGAAACAAGCATACGTGAAGTCTCTGAGTCTGTAAAGGACGATTGACGAACCGACGATTGCGACGAAGGCCGGAAGGACCGAGGACGGCTGGACGGAACTCGGAAGGAGGCTCACTGGCTGCCTCCCTGTCTTCTCTGCTTCGCTGCTCGACTGCTCAGTTCTCACCAACGAAGGACGCCGGACGGTCGGAGTGTTGTGTCGTACGGGAGTCCCTTGCTGGTCTCAGCTCTTGTTCCAGGTTAGTACGACCATCTCATCTCATTTTAAAATGGCGGATTGAATTTTGTGTGTGTGTGTGTGTATACACGTGTCGAACTTGATTTCTAGCATGTGATCATTGGCGGAGGAGGGGGGGCCACCCTGGGCCATGGCCCAGTGCAATTCGGCCTAGTCTCCATTAGGAATAGTAATTTTTTTTTTTTAAGTAATGGCCCAGTGTATAAAAAAATTGGCCCAGTATCATTAAAACCTCCAGCCCAAAATCCAAATTTTATTCACTTGTTCAGCCAACTGGAAGCACCGACCTTCGTAAATCGTAAGTGCAAAGTGCGTAACCTGCGAGGCTGCGACAGTGCGACCTGCGACCCTGCGTGAATCGGCCACTCCGGCCAGGCCGCCACTTCGCCAGACGCCAGGGACTACGGCTGAAAAGCGGCTGTCCAGAGAAGACCGCCTCCGCCTCCGGCTCTCCGCCTGCTCTCCGCCTCCGCCTGCTCTCCGCCTGCTCTCCGCCTGCTCTCCGCCTCCTCTCCGCCTGCTCTCCGCCTCCGCCTGCTCTCCGGCTGTCCAGAGGCCCTCCGCCTGCTCTCCGCCTCCGCCTGCTCTCCGCCTCCGCGGCTGTCCAGAGAAGACCGCAAAATCTGCAATTTTTAGGTATTTTTCTTACAATCTTACCCTAATTTCTTATATTAATAAATTACTAATTTGTAATTAGTTCCTTATTTGGGCTATTGTGTATGATTTTTAATTAGTTCATAGTTACTAATTTGTAATTAGTTGGATTTGGGAATTGGGATATTGTTTATTAGTAAATTGTTAATTGTGTTCCTAAATCAGTAATTCGTAATTTACTATCTATTATTTACTAAAGTATTACATATTAATTGTGTTCCTTATTAGTAATTTGCTGATAGTTTGACAATCTTCATTGAGAGGGAACTTGTCAGTACAATAGATATTGACTCTCTTATCGATGAGTTTGCTAAAGTAAAAGACCGTAGAGTGCAATTGACTTTTTAGTTTGAATGTTTGATGCACTAAATTTCTAGTAGTTTTGTTGTAAAAACATTTGTGATGCACTTGAACTTAATTTTATTACTACACTTATATTTAAGAATTTTTTTAGTTCAAATCCGGCCCAGCCCTTTATAGTGTCCTGGCTCCGCCCCTGCATGTGATTACCTTCTGGCTTCTGTTAATGAGTATTCAAGCAATCGAAACGGGTTATAATTACTAGCAAGTCTCAGTCCCAGCTTTTCATCGCCTTCGATAGAGTTGGACGTATGGCATAGTTAAGCATATGATTTGCTGTTATGAATGAATGAATACAAAGTGATTATACTTTCTTTTATAATTATAATTTTAATATAACCGGCAATATAAATAAAAAGTGTAGGATATTTTTGTAAATTTAATACTTCCTTTACCAACACTTCATCCATTCCAAACAGAGCGTCAGTGTTTAGACGACGACCTCTGTAATTCTCGACCCCTCTTTGACACTCAGAAGGCTAACATAACAGCTCCTTCAATCTGCGCTTACTATTCCTAACCCCGCTGGATGTCAGATTCGCTCGCATAACTACTCAAACCTTGATTTGTTGTCTAACTCAGAGAAGGTAAAAGTAATGGTATTCTTTTAGTTTTCATCAATAACCTATTCTTGACGTTCTCTCAGTTTCTAATTTAGGGTTTATAATTAAGACCGACGTGGATATCTGACTTATTGTAGGTATTCACCCCATTTATTTTCTGAACAAACATAACACTTTAAATTTGTTTTTGGGGTTTCTCTCTCGATTTTGTTTAAATTATTCATATAAGGGGTGTATATCGTTTAGACTTCTCTAGAGTAATGGTCTTGAAGTGTTTTATGCTTTTTTTGGTAATAATTTCAAATTCCAATTGTTTTTAGGCAGTGTGCATTTGGAAAAACTTTGCTACTATTTATAGGGAAGTTTATGGTGTGTTTGTGCCTTTGCATTTATGGTAATGTGATAGCATATTTAGCACTATGGCTCAAGAAGTAGCTGTGTGATATCACAGAGTGGGGCCTTTTGTTTTACATTATAATTCATTTTATGCGGATTATATATTTATATCACAGAATGGGCCTTCTTGTTTTACATCATTAATCATTTCATGTGGATTTTTTTTCCACGACAAGGTGTATATATTCATGTGGAGCTCTTTAGGTGGGAATACGATAAGAAGTTTATTTTGCTGATAATAGATCGCTCGATTATTTTTACAACTTCGTTTGATTAGTTGTGTTTTTGTCTATTGTTGCTTCAATTTTTTTGAGGGGTTAATATGAGTGCTCGTAAGCAATGAGTTCATAATTCCAAGGAAAAACGTGATTTATAAAGTATACTACATATATAATTATGCTAAAATTTGTACACTTTTTACCATTGTCAAGGATACTTTTTGCACACTTTTTACCATTGTCAAGAATACTTTAGGAAAACTATAAGCATTTAATACTCTCCTATGTTCCTACCAGCACATTATTAAAACCCATTACCTAATATGAGTTCTAGTATTACTGTATGGTTATAATACAACAACATATGAATTTTTGTATCACATAAGTTGTACTCTGTGTTTTTGGGTCTCAAACTTCATCTAGATGGCCCTGATTGCAAATGGAGCTTGTACTTGACAATATGTATTTAAAAGACACAGTTTATAACATTATATTGCTACGCCGTGTTGTATTTTATTAAGTATGCTATCAATTGTATATTATTTATAGATACTTTTATGAAGCAATTGAAAATATGCATCTGAGAGACATTTGTTTACATTGCTTCATTTTGTTATACTAAGTATTTTAAAAAACATGCTATCGACTTTATATTATTTTATAGATGTTTTGTTATGATGTATTTTGTTATAAACTATCTTCTCTAGATTGAAATCATTGAATATTGTGGTGCATTGTATACATTGACACACATTATACTATATAATACTACCTCCGTCCCACTAACATTGGGACGGAAGGAGGTGGCACGATTATTAAGAAAAGTAGATTTATGTGGTTGATATTGAATTGATAAAGTAAGAATAGAGTAAGAATGATTTAGAACCACATAAAGTTCACCAAATTTGGTATGAGACAATCTTAGTGGGATATCCCGAAAAGGAAAAATGGGACAATCTTAGCGGGACGGAGGGAGTGTATATTTTGTGCATATATATGAAGTATAATTTTTGTAAATTGTACTCTCTAATTTATGTATCACAGTCATATTTTCTGTGATAGAAAACAAATTTTGATTCTTTGAACTGGTGTCAGAATCATTTAATCATCTCTATGAGTAGTTTTAAAATCATTTACGGAGTAATTACTAGCTTAAGACTTGTAGCATTTTGCAGTGGAAGTTGATTGCAATGGAGTATATAATTTTTAGCATTCGATATCATGGTCTGCCTTACTGATAAGTGATATGTTTTTTATGCAGGCATCCTCATGGCTAGAGCTATATTTCAGTCATCATCTACCATATCCTCATTGGTTGGTGGTCAAAGATTTGGCCACTTCAAAGGATCTGTACAAGGGAGAACTGTTAAAGTGGTGTGCAATTTACAAACACCTTCGTTGAAGCTTAGAGATTTCCCAGGACTAGGAGCCTGCAATGTCTTCAATACATTGGGTATATCTGGACATGGACTTAACTCCAAGCTAGCTTCAGTAAGCTTTACTAAAAGAAGAGGACGAAGAGATAGCCGGTTTGTTGTTAAAGCAATGTTTGAGCGTTTCACGGAAAAGGCTATTAAAGTTATTATGCTTTCCCAAGAGGAGGCTAGACGTCTTGGGCACAATTTTGTTGGAACTGAACAAATATTCCTAGGTCTTATTGGTGAGGGAACTAGTATTGCAGCTAAGGTCCTTAAATCATCGGGGATTAGTTTAAAGGATGCTCGTGTAGAAGTGGAGAAGATAGTTGGAAGGGGAAGTGGATTTGTTGGTATTGAGATCCCTTTTACCCCTCGGGCAAAGCGTGTACTGGAACTTTCTCTTGAGGAAGCTCGTCACCTAGGTACACTCCACCCTTTCCACCTCTTGTTGAATTTGAACACCACCCCTAGTTTTGGCATCTCAATAGAGTGGTGTGGTTTAAATCTTGCACTTAGTTGCTAGTGATGTCTGGATGTGTCTAATTCAATTGGCTTTTTATTTTATTAGGCCATAATTATATTGGATCAGAGCATTTGTTGCTTGGGTTGCTTCATGAAGGTGAAGGTGTGGCTGCTCGTGTTCTTGAAGTATTGGGTGCTGACACAGGCAGCATTCGCACACAGGTAAACATTAGGTTCTCAAAACTACTACGTATTTTATTTGGTGTAGGGAGAAATGGGACACAGAAGGTTGGACGCGATTTTCACTATGGGTCATCCGGAAACAGTCTCTCTGTGCTTTAGTACAGGGGTAAGACTGCGTACATCCGACCCCCCCTTACCCCACCGTAGGTGGGAGCCTTTGCGGCACTGGGGTAAATGAAAATGATGAAAATGAAAATGAGAAATGGGACACAGAGCTAAGGTTCTATTGGATATTTGGATTTGTACCCTGATGTTATTTTTTAAAACTAGGTCATTCGAATGATTGGTGAGAATGTGGAGGCTGTTCCTGCTAGTGGTGGTGTAAGTACAGGCCAAAGGATGCCAACTCTAGAGGAATATGGTACGAACTTGACCAAGCTGGCGGAGGAGGTAATTCTATATTTTCTGGGTACTAAATCAATAAATGATGAACTCTTAATAGAGAAGCTATTGTTAAGATTATTTCTATCTTTTGAAGGGAAAATTGGACCCTGTAGTTGGAAGGCAGGAGCAAGTTGAACGGGTCACTCAAATACTTGGACGACGTACCAAGAACAATCCTTGCCTTATTGGAGAACCAGGTGTTGGCAAAACTGCTATTGCAGAGGGTTTAGCTCAGCGAATTGCAAGTGGTGATGTTCCTGAAACAATTGAAGGGAAGACGGTATGAACTATGAAGCATGTTATAATGGCTCATAAGTTATTTTGAAGTATCTTGTGGAATGAGTATTTTTATTGCTGCTCATGTTGTTGGAGTTAAAGTAGATCTAGTATTTTCCTTATCGTCTTAAATTTCTAGATACTTTTTAAGTTTAATCTGAAGGTTTTTTACAGTTTTTGTCCCCCCCTCGTTTTTTGGAGTTTGGGAGGTTTTGGTTTGCTTTGTTGTGTCATTGATAGGTAACACCCCAACCCAACTGAATATACGTATATTATTAGTGGAACCCTGATAACAAGATCAGGATTCCCAGGAGTTACATCAGCAAATAAGAAGAAGCATAGAAATAGTAGTATAATAGCTAGATAATTTCGAGAGAGTCTACCTCTCCTGCCCAGATCCAACTGACAACCAGCCTGTCTTCTCTTCCCTCCTTTTCCTGGCTTTATTCTTCCTCCACGATTGATCTGCCACCTCAGCTATTCTGTTATTTTATTCCTACTACTTTCTGCTGCCTGATCCCCCCTTTTGCCCCTTCTTTTATAGACTATTGAGAAGTCCCTATTATTAATATCATTGATGGTCGGACTGTTTGATACCCTATCAGTTAAACACTTATATCCGTAGTTTACCATAACTCTTTCAATATACATTTTTCTCATTCTATTCAAACAATTTATTTTATGTTTATGTTTTGTTAGAAGTAAGTGACATTATGCTGAAGAGCTGTATTTTGTAGATTTTTTTTATATATTTAAGTTGTCTTTATTGTTTTTTTCTCATATTGGTTGAGTGTGCAGGTTATAACCCTGGATATGGGCCTGCTTGTTGCTGGGACTAAATACCGTGGGGAGTTTGAGGAAAGGCTGAAAAAGCTAATGGAAGAGATTAAACAAAATGATGACATTGTACTTTTCATTGATGAAGTGCACACATTGATTGGAGCGGGAGCAGCAGAGGGTGCAATTGATGCTGCCAACATTTTGAAACCTGCCCTTGCTCGAGGTGAACTTCAGGTTAGTTTCTATTATGAGAAATATGTATTTTAAGGGAAGCTTTTTCTTTTCATCTCATCTATAGCACCATGCAAATTTACATACTTTTTAATACTCATCACTGAACTTGATCCCTATAAAAGGAAGATACTGGTTAGAGGGATATTATTGATATTTTTTTTCAGTTCCAACTTCCTATGAGTGTGTTGTAAATTTGTAATATGAGTATTGGGTTCCTTTTACTAGTCTTTGTAATAGTCTTTTGTTAGTATTAGTATTTCGGATTCCAATTTAGCAGTGCCCTTAACAGATCGTTAGGTATTCCCTTTTCAAAACTTCCACAATAGTAATCATAGTATGCGTGGAGGGTTTATATCGTTGATAACATAACTAGTTTTAGAGTTGATTCCTCTGTGTCTTCGGCAATGGCACAACTGAGTTTCTCTGCCAAGGACTGAATTTTTGCTCTGCATAAAGCGATAAGGAGCCATACTCTGCCAAGGGCGAGTAGTTCTTCATCTTTGTAGTCCTTTCAGTCTGCATCTTCTTTATAGTTCTTCATCTGTATAGCTTTCCATACATGCTTTTCTCTTGGCAACAATGCCAAAATTGTTTTGATTTTAATAATATCATTTGCTGTTAACTTGTCAGTGTATTGGTGCTACCACTCTTGATGAATACCGCAAGCATATAGAGAAGGATCCAGCATTAGAGAGAAGGTTCCAGCCAGTTAAGGTACCTGAACCTACCGTAGATGAAGCAATTCAGATCCTTGGTGGGCTTCGGGAAAGATATGAAATTCACCATAAGCTTCGCTACACCGATGATGCCCTTGTTGCTGCTGCCCAACTTTCACACCAGTACATCAGGTACCCCCAAAAAAGAAAATTGAATTTGTCAAGGGATATCTACTTAGGGAAAGATTATTTGAGAGTGTGTATAGACGGGAATGAATTAGACATGCCTCTGAACTATTTGTCAAGAACATATTTATTCCCCAACTTTCACCTGGAACAATTAAACACAATTTTTTTAAAGTTGTAGCAAATATGTTCTTTATGTCAATAGTTGAGGGGCATATATATGCTCATGGATATATATTACATGGACACACACACACACTTCTTGTAATAAATAGTTCATGAATATATTTGTTCCAACTTTACAATTTTTGTGTTCAACTGTTCTAAATAAAAGGTTAAAGAGCATATATGCTATCTGACATCTAGAGCTTTTCTTTATTCACGTTTTGTATTTCATTTTGTTCTCTCTTGTACTTCTTATAATAACACGTAACTATACATTGCAGTGACCGATTCCTTCCTGATAAAGCAATTGACTTGATTGATGAGGCTGGCTCTCGTGTTAGACTTCGCCACGCACAGGTATATTGGAGATCTTATTTTCGTAACAGTTAGTAGTATGCATTACACTATGCTGCTGCTGGCTTCAGCTTTTTGTTAACATTAGCTTTTTCTTCCCCTCCCAAGCTCCCGGAGGAAGCCAAACAGCTTGAGAAAGAAATGAGGAAGATAACAAAGCAGAAGAATGAAGCTGTCCGCAGTCAAGACTTTGAAAAGGTTTTTTAAAATACAATACTCTGTTTCCCCCCGTTTTGGCTTTACTGCAACGTGTTGTTTATATCCTTTCTGATAGTAGCTTTATTGCGTTTATGAACTTTAAAAACTGGTACACTTTTTTGGAGTGTTTGTGTGGAGGGGGAGGTTACTATATTTTATTTCTAAATGAGGACAGTACATGCTTCATGATAAGAAATAAAGAGCTAAAATATGCTAGTTTTTTAAAATGAAACAACCTCTTGAAAACCTGCATTCCCATCTTGCCTCAGGGATTCATCAGGCTTATAAACAGCTCTTGCTTTTAAACTCTTTTCAGGCAGGGGAATTGCGTGACAAAGAAATGGATCTTAAGGTGCAGTTGTCAGCCCTAGTAGAGAAGCGAAAAGAGATGAGCAAAGCTGAGAGCAGTGATGCCCTAGATGATGTGGGTCCGGTTGTGACTGAAGCTGATATTCAACACGTTGTTGCCTTGTGGACTGGTATTCCTGTTGAGAAGGTTTCAACGGATGAATCCCACCGCCTCTTGAAAATGGAAGAAACTCTTCACAAGAGAGTCATCGGGCAAGATGAAGCTGTAATGGCCATTAGTCGCGCCATCCGACGTGCCCGTGTTGGGCTCAAGAACCCCAACCGACCCATAGCCAGTTTCATATTTTCTGGTCCTACCGGTGTTGGAAAATCCGAACTGGCTAAAGCACTGGCCACATACTACTTCGGTTCTGAAGAAGCGATGGTCCGTCTCGACATGAGCGAATTCATGGAAAGACACACCGTCTCGAAACTCATTGGTTCTCCGCCAGGATACGTCGGTTACACTGAGGGTGGTCAGTTGACTGAGGCGGTCCGTCGAAGACCTTACACCCTCGTTCTCTTTGATGAGATAGAGAAAGCCCACCCTGACGTCTTCAACATGATGCTTCAAATCCTCGAGGATGGAAGGTTGACCGATAGCAAGGGAAGGACGGTTGACTTCAAGAACACACTATTGATCATGACGTCAAACGTGGGTAGCAGTGTGATAGAGAAAGGTGGCCGTCGGATTGGTTTTAATTTGGATTACGACGAGAAAGATGGAAGTTACAACCGGATCAAGAGCTTGGTGACTGAGGAGCTGAAACAGTACTTTAGACCTGAGTTCTTGAACAGACTGGATGATATGATTGTGTTCCGTCAGCTGACAAAACTTGAAGTGAAGGAGATTGCTGATATAATGCTCAAAGAGGTGTTTGAGAGACTGAGGGGACTTGGAATAGTTCTTCAGGTGACCGAGAGGTTTAGAGATAGGGTGGTTGACGACGGGTATAACCCAAGCTATGGAGCTCGACCACTGAGGAGAGCTATTATGAGGTTGTTGGAGGACAGCATGGCTGAGAAGATGCTGTCACGTGAGATCAAAGAAGGCGATTCGGTTATTGTGGACGCCGATTCTGATGGCAATGTGACTGTTTTGAATGGAAGTAGCGGGGTTCTTCCAGAGCAGCCAGCTTCCTCCGAACTTGTTGCCATCTAGTACACATTTATTTATTTTGCAGGAAGGAACTTTTCATTTGTTCTCCAGGAGGAAGTAGAGGTTTCAGAGCAGTTTTGCATTGGTTTCACATTCTTTACATTTTGAATGCTTCTTGGTAAACAGTCTATTTTTTCCCTCTTGTAGCTATTGATACTTCTAGCTTGCTTTGTGAAAGTAGTGTAATTTGATTATCATATGAGATATCCTTCGTAGAGGCTATTCAACACCGACTTGTGTGCGACAGTATCATATGTATACATTAAGCAGCAATGCATTTAAGCTTAATAATAGAAAATAATAATTCTGTTTCTTTAAGGTAAACAGCTTGTCCATATTCATATTAAAAGTTCAAATATGTTTTTAGTCTATGTGGATGTGACTATCACGGTTTCAGGCCTCTACATTTTTTGTTTTCCTTTAATGTAATGTAAACGTTTTCTAATACCTATCTAACCAGCAGAGACCCGGTTCACTCCAGGGCTGAGAGCCTGAGACCAGCCAGTTCTTGCCAAAGAAAAGGGACGCCATAATTCCTATCCCTATCAGGGTTTGTCGCTACAACATGCACTATATATACTCAGTCATGTTTCAACTTATCCTAGAAATCTGGAATTTTTCCCATCAAAGTTTGTCACCATAATTCCAATTTCATTTTACCACATGATCCGGTCTCATTAATCAACACAATATCCTCTATAAATATAATGCAACATGGTCCATGATATATTATATTTTCTTGAGTTGATTTCATGAGTTCATTCATGACTCATGACTGACAAATAATAAAAGGTCCAAAGTTAATTCTTGATACACTTCTATGGTAATATGGAACTCATCAGTCATCTTTACACTAGTACGAACACTTGTAGTACGATCTTCGTACATACCCGTAATGATATTGATATGCTTATCTCTGGTTAACGTCAAATAGATGCTTCTCAGGTTACTCTATTATGTTATATATTTTCTAAGTCGCAGATCTTCATCGTATCTTTATACTTCTCCAAATGTTGCCTAACTTGGTTGTTGACTGGCCCGACATAAAACTGAATTGATTATATGAAATCTTCAAACGTCTTTGTAGACTAATATCGGAGTTAAAAAGAAATGAAATTAATTATTGTTTTCAAAATAGGTATTTAAAACTAGGGGTGGGATCGGTCCGATCTGGGTCGGGTTTTGCTAAACCCGGAAATTATCCGGAAGGTCTCGGGTTATGAAAATTAAGGACCGGAACAAAGCCCATTGCATTCGGTCCGAGTCGGGTTTTTGATAGACTGGGTTCGGTCCGGGTTCGGGTTGGGCTGGTTAAAGACCGAATGTCTTTTTATATTTTAAAACCTATTTTTAAATAAAACTAATAAAAAACACAACCCGCAAATAATAACACAAATATTAGTCTCCAAAATCACCAACAATTCAAATCTAAAGAAGATAATTATCTTAATATTTTGTTTACGATGCATATAAATAAATAATATAAGTTTTCTAAAAATAAATTGAACAATTTGAACAAATTGTTACTAGGTCATGTTTTCATCCACCATGATTATAATCATATATTAGGAATTACTATTGAAATGTTATATATTATATTTGAATAATATATTGATGTTATATTCAAGCAAATTGTTTCGGGTTTTTATCGGTCCGATCCGGGTTATAGATTTAAGGGCCCGCTTATGAGCCTGAATTTTCGGGTTTGGTCCGGTTTTTTTTCCCGGGCCGGTTAAATAGAAAAACCCGGACCGGGAATATCATTCGGGCCGGACTAGGGTCAGTTTCCGGGTTTCGGTTCGGTTTTTCCCACTCCTATTTAAAACTCTATAGAAAATAAAATTACTCACTTTTGGAGTGAAACAATAAAGAAATATAAAAAATCTATTTGTCGAGATGATTTCATTTCAAATGGAGGATATTAGGATAGGTGATGGATTTAAAAGAAATGCTGCATAAATTAAAGAATGAAAAAATTTGTAGCAACCTAAAACAAAAGGGAAAATTCCCGAAATAGGACTAAAACAGTTTGAAAATTCCAAAATAGAACAGTCATGTTTTTTATTCCCAAAATAGGAGTAATTACTGTCAAGTTTAGAAAATACTGCCATGTTTGAAGTCTGGTACTGCCAAAACATGACAATTCTATTTTGAGATTTTCAAACTTCTAATCCTATTTTGACAGTCATTAGTCTTATTTTGGGAATAAAAACATGACAATTCTATTTTGAAATTTTCAAACCACCGTGTTTGGATGGACTAGCATATTTAAGCCTGTAATAAACAAGCAAATTAGATATAAGTATATAACGGTATAATATACTACCTATATGATTGTTCATTGCTTGTCTATAACGAAGTATTACCAGAAACGGATTAATTAATATACGGGAAAATAATTAAAATACCCCAAACTTTGAAGAGTGTGAGATTAATACTCCAAACTTACATATGTAATTTAAATACCCCAAACTTTATATAATAAGTTATTCTAGCACCATGGTCATGACTAATTTCTTTCAAGCTCGATAAATTTAGCATTCATAAAGATACAATCAACATTCTAAGCTTCCATGGTAAAATAAATAGTATTACCCACCACTATATATAATTATAATGTTTTCAATTTTCTATTTTAAATTATGCATTTAACACCATAAATTTACATTTTTGAAAGAAATTACACATAACCATGGTGTTAAAATAACTTTTTATATAAAGTTTGGGGTATTTAAATTACATACGAAAGTTCGGGGTGCTTATCTCACACCCCTTCAAAATTTAAGGTATTTTAATTATTTTTCCTTCAATATACGTACATGAATATATATGACTATATGACTATAACAGCAGGGCCGGCCCAGGGCATGGCTGCCCAGTCCAACCGCACAGGACCCGAATTTTTGAAGGGCCCAAAAACAAAAATTAGTAGTATACCCCAGCCCAAAAAAAATTAATATGATGCCCCAGCCCAAAAACATCCGCCCAACTCCCCGTGCGCCTAATACACTGCGTCCGAAATCCCCACTCCCCGACCTGCGTGCCGCGTCCGAAATCCGCTGAGGCCAGAGCCTATTCAGAAGGAGTGAAGCCGTTGAACTCAGCCAGACGAAATCACCACCAAGCGCCGTTGCGCCGCGAAATCACCACTTCGCCGCACGCCGCTGCTCTGGATTGAAGGCTTGAAGCCGTTGAACTTTAAGCGGTTAAAGTAAATCATTATTTGGATTGATAACAAATGTGTAAATGTGTTTAGCAATTAAACTTTAAGAAAGTGGTATAAATATATTATTCCCTCCGGTTCTTATTAAAGTTCCCACTTTCCTTTTTGGGATGTCCCTTATTTAAGTTCACACTTCCATTTTAGGAAACAAAACAGTGCAAAACAGTGCAAAACAGTGTCCAAACAGTGCCAAACAGTGCACTCCTCAGTAAAGTCAAATTCATTTTCTTAATATGCGTGAAGTCAAATTAAGAACTTAAATAAGAACCGGAGGTAGTATTAGGTAACTTCATGTTGATAAATTATAATTATATAGTAAATTTTTAATGTTTTCACCCTAATTTTAAACTGAATATTAATTTAAAATTTATAAACATGTATAGGATCAGAGGACAATTTCAATAATTGGTAATAATTATGTTTCCATATAGATACCGATTCGGTTATGAGAAGCGTCAAAGGAAAAGAAGATTTGACGAGTTAACCCAATCTCAAAAAGGACCATTTTCATTTTTCTGGAAAAGAATAGTGAAATTGTATTCTCTTCCTTTGACGCTTCTCAAATTGTAAAAATAGCTAACCTTATTTTTTCTTATTACTACGCAATTCAGCGTGCAAATCAAAAGTTACGTGTTTGGTGAAAAGTTGGCTGATAAGCTGAAAAACGGATTTACCAAACGAACTTTACGTGCTTGTTGAAAAAATTGGTTCATAAATCTTCGTTTTAGCAATAAAAAGCAATAAAAAATGAGTCTTTTTGGTAATACCTAAATCGTCCGTATTAGCCGATTGTGCTAAAATTTATGAAGTTCTGACTAAATTGACTGAATTGGCTTATTTATGAAAAAAAAATATATAATATATATTTTATTGATTAAATAAAGAAATACTTATTTGTCAAAATAGTTAAAATGATTTTCTACAGTAACTTCAGGCAATACAGCTAGAAACGCAACTCCAACCTCACATTTTCTTATTATTACACAATCTAGCGCGCGAAATCAAAAGTTACATGTTTGATGAAAAAGTTGGCTAATAAGACTGATAAGCCGAAAGACAGAGTCACCAAACAAGATTTGAGATTGTCTTATTTTTCTTTTCGTGAAATATCACTAAATTTGTCCCATAACAAGTTTAATAAAATTTGTGTGACTATCTTTTTTACAACAGTATACTCTTTTTATCGAGTATTTTCACGGTGACGCAACCCTGGGAATTCATGAATAAACTCTTTACTCAAATCTCACTGTATATAACAACCACTAGATTTGAATTTACAGACTACAGAGACGCAAGCCTGGGAATTCATCAATTCAGTGACATTTATCCCAATTCCAATCACCGGAGTCGGTGTTAATGACGATGTTGTTCTCCCTTAGTCATGGTAAGGCTTCTACTTTGCTACGCTTTGAGAAAAAGGAATTGATGCCTCTTTTCATCTTTTCTATTGCTTCATAGTTCACAATATGGTTTAAGTTTTATGCGCCTTCCTGGTGGACTATGCATGCATGTATATGGATGCTAGTGGTGAAAAATATTGATAGATTTCTTCTGAGGTGAAGTAAACATCCTCAATTTCATATGGGTTATACTTCTGCAGCTAGAAAGGCAAGGTCTTTGAGTTCTCAAATTTATTGCCTTGCCAATTCTCATCTCTCCGCAGCTACTAATCCATCGTGGAAGCATCGAACTAAGCTGGTCAGCTCCTATCCCCCACCTTTTCTGGTAGCCTTTGTTTGGTTGTAGGATTTTAAAGAGGGTGGGAGGGGATGCGTTATATTTATTTTATTAATTCTTGTTACAATTTTACATTAGATTAGATTGTTGGAATCTAGAAATGAAGTGGACATGGTTTCCTTTTCATATATAATTACTTCATTTTACTAAAGTTATACACTTATACTGAGTAGTTCATGTCTAGTGGAGGACTAGGCGACTAGCACATAGAGATAAACTTAAAAAAGAACAATCAACCCTCCTATCCCCCAAGATTGGATGGAGGGTTTTGGAAGTAGTGTTATGGCTGACTAAGTCTGCTAATTCTGAAATACTTGGTGATGATATAGCATTTCACTCACCCTTTGTTCATTTTCTTAAATACATTCTATTCAACGAGATGTAAACTTACTTCTTCCCGACTTTTTTCTGAAATATCTTTAGCTTCGTGCAAAATAATCTTTATGATGCCACATAGGAGAAACCATAGCCTTAGAGAGTGTTGTAGGGTGAATGCCCAATTTGATTGGTGGCAGCTTTGTAGATTCAAAGTCATCTGGTTCAATTGATGTTATAAACCCAGTAAGTACTACAAGTTGAAGTAGCTTTTGGACCGTATCTATTTTCAAGCAGTAATTTTTATTGATGGTGTGGAATAGGCTACACAAGAAGTGGTCTCACATATACCACTAACTACAAATGATGTGTTCAAATCTGCAAAATAGGCATTTCTGTCGCTTAAGAACACACTAACATCATGGCAGTGTGTCATGTTAAAGTACCAAGACCCTATACGAAAATATTAAAGTTCTAATATTTTTCTAAGCTTTATGATCTATGATGATTGCAGCTAAAAGGTGTATCTTCGTTTTTTATCAGAGAATTCCCAATTTGATTGGTGGCAGCTTTGTAGATTCAAAGTCATCTGATTCAATTGATGTTATAAACCCAGTAAGTACGACAAATTGAAGTAGCTTTTGGACCTTATCTATTTTTATTTTAAGCAGTAATTTTTATTGATGGTATGTAATAGGCTACACAAGAAGTGGTCTCACAGATACCACTAACTACAAATGAGGAGTTCAAATCTGCAGTATCTGCAGCAAAAGAGGCATTTCCGTCGTGGAAGAACACACCGATAACAACAAGGCAGCGTGTCATGTTAAAGTACCAAGACCTTATACGAAAAAACATGGTTAGTGTTTTCATTAAAGTATTAAAGTTCTAATTTTTTTCTTAGCTTTATGATCTATGATGATTGGAGTTACCATAATATTTTATCCAGGACAAGTTAGCCCTGAACATTACAACTGAACAGGGGAAGACATTGAAGGATGCACAAGGCGATGTATTCCGTGGATTAGGTTGGCTGCATTTACTTTTTACATCATTTGAGGGATATATCATACTCTCTTCGGTCCTAACTCCTAAATAAAGTTCACACTTTCCTTTTTGGGCCGGTCCAAATTAAAGTTCACACTTCTTCTCCCTTCCTTATTTGGCAAATTATCTACATCAAAACAGTGCCAAACAGTGTCACAACAATGTACTCTACGGTAAAGTCAAATTTATTTCCTTAATTTGTGTGAAGTCAAACACTGAACTTCATTTAGGACCGGAGGGAGTATATGTCACTTGTTGCAGCTCTTAAATTTCCTTTTTTCCATTTTAAAGAGGTAGTGGAACATGCATGCGGTATGGCAACCTTACAGATGGGAGAGTATGTGTCTAACGTGTCAAATGGTGTGGATACTTATAGCATAAGAGAGCCTTTGGGTGTTTGTGCTGGGATTTGTCCATTCAACTTCCCAGCAATGATTCCTTTATGGGTAAGTAACATTGGAATTGCCAAGTGGCAACTACTAATCATGATTATATTTGGGTTGATCTTTTTGGCTATGCAACTACTCAGTTGGGAACTTGGGATCTTATTTTGGTACTTAGCTTGAGCCTTATTATGAATGAAGATTGCTTCTGTCTTTTGTTCCACTCCCTCCTTTCCTATCTATCCGCCTACATTAACAAAATCACACTTGTTAAGAAAATGCATTAGTGTGGTGAACTAATCAAAACCTTTTTTAAACTTTAGAATGCCATCATTTAATATTTAGTAATTACATACTACTCCCTCCGTCCCGCTAAGATTGTCCCATCTTTCCCTTTTAGTCCGTCCCACTAAGATTGTCCCATACCAAATTTGATAATGTTTGTGTGGCTGTAAATCGTCCTTACTTTATTGTCACTTTATCAATTCAATATCAACCACGTAAACTCACTTTGTTTGGTAATTGGCTTACCACACCACCTCCTCTTGTACCAATGTTAGGGGGACGGAGTTGGTATCATTTTAACTTTTCTATTTCAAAGAAGGATAAAAGGGTAAATTTTGGAAGGTAAAGAGCAGAATGTGCTTAGATTTCATAAAACTTGAGATAAAAAGCAACATTCAATTTGATGGATGTAGACAAATAAATAGGATGGATGGAGTATTTATTAGTACATTCTTATCAAGTCACCACCACCTGTTTTGGCTCATCAAACTTGCAGATGTTTCCTATTGCAGTTACAAGTGGGAACACCTTCGTTCTAAAACCATCAGAGAAAGATCCAGGTCACTGTATTGTTTTAAAACATCAGTGTATGTGGTTTTCCATTGTTTGATCGATTTAGTACTATTTCTTGACTTCAGTATTTTTCCTTCCAGGGGCTTCAATGATGCTAGCTGAGTTGGCAATGGAGGCTGGGTTGCCTGATGGAGTTTTAAATATTGTTCATGGAACTCATGTATACTCTGTTATAAACAAGTGTTTATTAGTCTCTCCATCACGAATTAATTGTCTTAATAAAGTGGTTGAAAATAAAAGACGTGGTAGAAATTGTAGCAGAAAAGGTAAAATGATATGAACCAATCTTTTATTTTCAACCACTTTATTGGGTAAAATTATTTACGGATGGAGGGAGTATAATTTGTTGTATTTTATGTGGATAGTCATATGATGCAACCCTGAACTACCTTGCAGGACATTGTTAATGCTATATGTGATGATGAAGATATCAAAGCAATATCATTTGTTGGTTCAAATACAGTGAGTAAAGCCTTCCACAGTTCCAGTATTCAATTTTATTATGCAGGAAATTAGGAAGTTTTTAATTGGGGGTTCAGACCCAAACAAGATCAGATCAGATTTGAACATAGTAGTCCAAACAGACTATATTAGACAAGACTATACTTAGACAATAGTAAAAATGTAAAATACATATACACTAAACATTTACATGACCAGCCAAAGAATTTTAATCCTATTAAAAACATCCCAAGTGTTTTATTTTTATTTCTGCAATTAGTACAAGCTCAACTTTGGGTAGGGATCTTTCTGAAGAAATTAATAATAAATCCATCAATCACTATTACAGAACATGCTATTATTCCATTAGAGTAGAAAGTCAATCTCATCATCTACTAACATCAACTCAGCTCTCTCTGCAATTATGGAGTTGCTCATTTTGCATTCACATTAAGGAACCTTGTCCTTATGTTAGGGACCCGGTAGAATAAGAGTAAATAAGAAATGTAATAGATAGAGTAGTATAAATAGAAGGGGAGTGGGCAATAAAGAGTAGGCTGTTTTAGACTTGTCTTGGGACTTGGGAAGACTGAGACTAATAATCTCTTTCTTTGGGAGCTTCGGCTTTTGGGGACTTCGGCCAGTATATTGTTTTACCTTTAATAAAGATTCTGGAGTTCTTGATACTATTTCCTTACTTTCTCTTTGATATTTGCTGGGATTTCTGGAGGATTCTAACATTGGTATCAGAGCAAACAATCTTGTTACATGTAGTCCTGTACAGGAACGATGGAAGATTGGGGGCTGTTTTGGGAAAAAATGCGCGAAGATACCAGGCGTTTGTGCGAAAGGATACGCAAAATAAGCCCGCAAAGAAACAATCGGCACTCGCAGAAAGAGTCGCGAACTAATTCGCACTCGCAGGAGTTGCAGAAAGAGCCGCGAACTGTTTCGCACTCGCGAAAGAAGCCGCGCGAAGAAGTGGGGAAGCTCGCGGAAAAGGATAAGCGAGGAAAAATGGAGAAAGAGAAACGCTCAACCCTATAAAAGGAAAAGCGCTCAAACATGGAGAAGGAGAAGAGCTCAAAACCAGAGAAAGAGAAGTCCTCAAACCTGGAGAAGGGGAAGCCCAAGCTGCGAAAAAAATGTCGTAGGCGAGGACGGTCAAGGACTGTGCGTCGCTGCTTGAATTCGAAAAGCAAATACCCTTCTCAGTCACAAGATACTTCTTCTGGTCCTCTGGTTTTGACTAGAGCAGACAAGCCCAGTTCGAAATCTTTATTTGAATTTCCAGAGTCGCAGCAGAATTTGGTTATTCAGCAGCACACCTATGGAGAAGAGGAATTCAGTGATAAACTATCAGTTAATCTTGAACCTGAAGATGGAACAGTTGTTGGATTCTCCAGAAGTAAGATGTTTTCCAAATACGATCTTGACCAGTCAGACCTTGAAACCAATAGGTTCAAGCTTCTTCAGGTATGCGATATTTCTTCTCATCTTGCACAGAAGAGGAACTGGCCAAATGTCTGCAAGACTGATATGATGTATCGCCATTCATCAAACTTTGTGTTGGAAGGATTGAACATCGTTTCTATTGTTGATTTGGTTCTCCAACCATGTCCACTGGGAACTACTGAAACTGGGTTACTTAAAACCGAGGACATAATTTTAGGGAATTCATGCTTGGAACGAAAGAGATCTAGTCCAGTGGTTCTTAAGGATCGGGTTCATCTTTTTTCTTGGGAATCATATGCCATTATTCAAATTGGGGTAGTGATTTCACATGGAGGTCCTCTAAATTGGAGGGAGGGTGTGAGCAGAGGAAGGCTTGCTATTGCTGACAAAGGGGCTGAAATAGCAGTACCTAATCAGAAATTGATTGCTGAGAAACATCTTATCACCATGTTTCAAGCAATTTTGAAACCCAGAATTGAAGAGGGACTTTCTAACCATTATAATTCAAGGGATCATCAATACTATTCCCCAGTTGTTTCCTTTGTTCTTGTGAATCTGAAGGGAAGGGATCCAAGTACCCTTGATTCCTCTACCAATTTGTGGGTTGGTTTTTTAACAGGAGCACTCAGAATTTCAGATTCTTTAAATGAGAAAACAGTGGAAAATTTTGTGGAACAACATAATGAAGCAAATGAAAAGGTGAAATTAGAACAGGGTTGGAAAATGGCCATGTCGTATAATGGTGATAGATCTGTCTACGTGCAAGAAAACCAATTTTGGAACTTTTACATGGGAGATGAGCTTTCATTTCATGTTCTTTAGTTATGAGAACTGCAGCTAGAATTATGCATCTCATTACTTGCTTGCTAAAACCTTTGAGGTTTTCCTTGTCAAATGAGGTAAGTAAAGAATTAAAAGAGGAAGAAGTTGAAAGGTACGTAAAGGAGCTTGCATCCAATACAGTATTAGTTTCAGAGACTGGAAAATATGAGGAGCTGCAGAAAAGTGAAGAAATATTTTTTACTATCAAGTGCTGGAAAGAAACTGAATTGAATGAATCTTCACTGCTGATTTCTTCGGCTACTGAAAGTTCTGAGATCTTAAAAGATCTCGTACGAAAGTCCCTAGTCCATCAACCAGTCAAGTATTGGGAAGGGAGAGGCGCAAGGATGAAGAGGAAGCAGAAGATCTTGGCTGCTTGACCTGCTTCCTATCGCCCACCTTGAGGGCAAGGTGGATGTTTAGGGGGGGAGATATGTTAGGGACCCGGTAGAATAAGAGTAAATAAGAAATGTAATAGATAGAGTAGTATAAATAGAAGGGGAGTGGGCAATAAAGAGTAGGCTGTTTTAGACTTGTCTTGGGACTTGGGAAGACTGAGACTAATAATCTCTTTCTTTGGGAGCTTCGGCTTTTGGGGACTTCGGCCAGTATATTGTTTTACCTTTAATAAAGATTCTGGAGTTCTTGATACTATTTCCTTACTTTCTCTTTGATATTTGCTGGGATTTCTGAAGGATTCTAACACCTTATTTAAGTTACCATTAAATGCATTTATTTCTTTTCAATGCACTAAAGCATTTAGTGGGTACCTCGAGAAGTTCTTTGGTGGGCCTTAACTAGGAAAGACATATCACGCAAGTATATCAGCATCATCATGGATATGTATGAGGATTGTACTACAAGTGTTCGTACTAGTGTAGGGAGGACCGAAGAGTTCCCTATTACTATCGGAGTGCACCAAGGATCGGCCTTGAGTCCTTTCTTATTTGCCATAGTCATGGATGAACTTACGAAGTCAATTCAAGACGATATACCGTGGTGCATGATGTTTGCCGACGATATTGTATTGATTGATGAGACGCAATCAGGTCTTAAAGCAAAGTTGGAAGTATGGCGACAAACATTGGAGAATAAGGGTTTCAAACTAAGTCGGAGCAAGACAGAGTACATGGAGTGCAAGTTTGGTGGATGTAGAAGTAGTGGTAGTGGCGGAATTACTCTGGATGGTAAGGAGATACCAGTCAGCGATATGTTCCGTTACTTGGGCTCCATAATTCAGAAGGACGGTGAGTTTGATGGAGATGTATCCCATAGAATCAGAACAGGGTGGATGAAGTGGAAGAGTGCGTCAGGATTTCTATGCGACCGAGGTATGCCGACTAGACTGAAGGGTAAATTTTATAGGACAACAATTAGGCCTGCATTACTGTATGGCGTAGAGTGTTGGGCGGTGAAACAATGTCACATTCAAAAGATGAGTGTGGCAGAGATGCGCATGCTGCGTTGGATGTGTGGGCATACTAGGAAGGACCGCGTGAGGAATGAGACAATCAGACAAAGGGTGGGAGTAGCACCTATTGAAGACAAGATGCGGGAGTCGCGCCTACGGTGGTTTGGTCATGTGCGTAGAAGACCGAGTGATGCACCTGTTAGGCGAGTTGAGATGTGTGGAGAAGAGGCAGGGAAGAGAGGGAGAGGAAGACCCAAACAGACGTGGGTTAGGGGAGTTCGAAGTGATATGCTTCTTCTGGGGTTGGATGAGGGCATGACTTTGGAGAGAACTAAGTGGAGGGCGGGTAATCACGTGAAGGAGTGATCTTGATAATCTTTTTCCCTCATCTTTTTTTCCTAGTTTTTTTATCCTTATATATATATGCATTATTTGCAGCCTTTTTATTTTATCATTTCTATATATATTCATCTTTTTTATATGATCTTTTCATAATAGCTTATCTTTTTATCTTTATTCATTCTTTTCCTTTTGGTTGTGATATCATGTATCGATTCATGTTAGCCGACCCTAATATCTTTTGGGACTAAGGCTTGGATGTTGTTGTTGTTGTTTGTTGCACTAAAGCATTTAGGGTTTTCTTGGTTCAGGCCCTTCAGGGATTTTGCAGGGAAAGGAAGGGGAGGGTTAGATATATAATTATTTCTACATTTAGATGATTGACAATACATGATCTTAACTAATTGCATGGTTTATTTAAATTCTAAAACTAACAAATAAAGATAAATTGGTAAGATAAAAATTTATACCCTCCACTTCCCTCCAAAGTCCTGAACCAAACAAGTTCTTAAGACAGGAAGAGTTAATATGGGCAAATTCAGAAGGTATGTACAAAGCATGCATTGGTTTCCTAAAATCACAATTATCTTGGGACAGTTTTCGTGTGGCTAAACTGAGAATTAATTTGGGATGAAGTGTTTATTTCCTGACACATGATTTCCTCCTAGGATTGTCATATAAATGCATGTCTGAAACTGACCAATCCTTGTCTGTTCTTTATCTTCCAGGCCGGTATGCATATTTATGCCAGGGCATCAGCTACTGGAAAACGTGTTCAGGTAAGAAAAAGAGGGAATTAAGTGACTCTCCTCACATCTTATATGCTATGAAATGTAATTGAGTGCTAATTAGGCTAGAACACTCTTGGAATAACTACCTCTAAAACACATTCAGTCCAACATGGGAGCTAAGAATCACGGCATTGTCATGCCTGATGCAAACATTGATTCCACATTAAATGCTTTAGCAGCGGCGGGATTTGGTGCTGCTGGACAGAGATGCATGGCACTAAGTACAGTGGTGTTTGTTGGAGAGTCAAAATCATGGTATTTACCTTCTAGTCACATGCATCTTTATTTTCAGCAATTTGGATCATTTTTTAGGATAAAGGGATTGCCAATCATACTTATAGGATTGAGAGATTGGTAGAGCGAGCACAGGCACTAAAAGTAAGTGCTGGAACAGAACCTGATGCTGATCTTGGACCTGTAATTAGTAGACAGGTGGGTAAACCAATATGGTACCTTGTTGAACCAAAGTCACTCTACTGATGCATATTTCGTGCACGAATGATCATCCTGTAACAATAGGCAAAGGATCGAATATGCCAGTTGATTCAAAGCGGTGTAGATAGTGGGGGTAAATTGCTGCTGGATGGAAGAAATATCACGGTACACTTTCATATTCAGTCATTCCACCAATGGCCGAGTTGCATTTAGTTGCCACTTATATTGCACGGAAACTTGGGAATCATGGGAAATAATGAAACGAGAAACACCATCTTTTAATATTAAAATAAAATGTCTGTTTGGAGAGTTTATGTCAAGTTCCCGAAATGGAAACACACTTTCTCGAGAGTTTCCGTGCTTCATAGGTTACCACTTTCTATTAATTATTACTCCATCCATCCCAAGAAAGTACTTATGATTCAAACACTTATTTGCCCTAAAAAAGAGTCCAGTTTGAATGATCAAACCTAATTTTTCATGTAATTTGTCAAAAAAAGAGCCAATCGACTACTTAAATTAAATATGATTAAATTTAATTTAACCAACAAATATATAAAAAAGTATGACTCGTGATCTATGATAGTCATACACGACATCTTTTGGGACGAGGTATTATTTATTTATTACTGAGTTGTACCTTTTCAAAGTTGTCAATTTAATCTGAATCTTCATATTCTTTTTTTGTTGGATATAGGTACCTGGATATGAAAAAGGTAATTTTATTGGTCCCACCATCTTATCAGATGTTACTGCTGATATGGAATGTTATAAGGTATACTGCCCTTCTCCTCCTGTCTATTAAAAGTGGGAACTGGGAAGTTCTTACTTCCTCTGTCCCAATGTTAGAATAATTTTTCAGAGGTAGAGTCATACACTCATGATCAAGGTACATATAATAAATTTAGTTAATAATTGAATAAAGAAAAAAATTATAAATATCATTCAATTTGTGAGAGTTGTGCTGGCATACCTTTGGGAGTGGATTATATATAAGCTTACTGATAACTCTAAATTTTGGCATGTTTTTCTTGTACAGGAGGAGATTTTTGGCCCTGTTCTCCTCTGTATGCAGGTTTGTTAGCAGATTATGTTCCTCTACCCTACAGTAAGTTGCTATAAGCAGACGTCACAGTGAATGACAACATTCTTTTTTGTTGCGATGTGCAGGCTGATAGTCTAGAAGAGGCCATAAGAATTGTCAATAAAAATAAGTATTTATTCTATATCCTTCCTTTAGAGAACCAATCTTTCTACATTCATTTATTCACAATACTATTAAAATCTGTAATAATGCAATCCTTTGCCTTCTCAGATATGGAAACGGTGCTTCCATTTTCACTACGTCTGGGGTAGCGGCAAGAAAATTTCAAACTGAAATTGAGGCAGGGCAGGTACAAAATTGGATTCTGTTGCATATCTGCAGCTAATCCATAATGGCATGTTTGGTTTCCGTTGTATGTAGAGAGAGGGAGTTTGACTCCTTCCTTGGCACAATCAATAGCACATCACTTTCTATAGAAAGTGGTTGACCTTCCTAGAAAGTCAGTTGTAGGATTGGGTGGGGGGGGGGGGGGGGGGTAAGATTTGGGGTCTGTTTGGAACCTTGGAAATGAAAGGAAATAGGGTGTAAAATCAGCAGGAAAGGGAAGTTTAGTGTATGCTGTAGAGGCTAAAAAATCTACAATGTTTGGAACCTGGGGTCCGTGTAATCTACTTATCTAAGTCATTGCTTTGTTTTAGATAAATGTTCAAACTCATTTTTATTAATTTATTTACTTGTATTGTAGTTTAGTGTATGCTGTAAAAGCAAAAAAATCTATAATGTTTATAATCAAGGAAAAAAACAATCACATCTCGTTTTCCTTTGCATTTCTCAAGGTAAAACGAAGCATGAGAAAAATACTTTCTTTAGCATTTTCTCCCTACTCTTAGCATTTTCGGGATACAAACACACTTGATGAAAAATAAGACACTTTTCTAAACTCAATAAATTTATGGGTCATGCTAACCAAAGCCCTTAGGCCAAGGGTTAAGAAACTAAAAGTACAAAGTTTTTGATGCATTTCTGCTGCTTCCCACTAAAAAAACTTTCATTTTTGTTTCCGTAAACAATGCCTTAATGGTTATGGTTAACATTTGGGGCAATTGGCATGTGCACCCCATGTTTACCTTAACATTTTACATTGCATCTCATGTTTGTTATCTTTGACTTTGCACCTGGGTGGGCTGCAATACCAAATTATACGGCAATGATGCGATGCAAATACCAACTCTTTTTTATACTTTCCACCCTATGATTACCTCAATATTTGATTTTGTACACAACTTGGGATGAAGAATTAAAGAGAATAAAACATGGTCTGAAAAGCCAAATTATGAGGTAAATATGGGGTGCAAATACCAATTTTAGGTAGCATTTGCCTAAATTCATTTTTTCTTTCTTGAAATTCATATTATTTATACATTTCTGTGCATTAAGTAAAAAAACATTCAAGCATTAATCATGTTTGATTTTCTTTGCATTGCTGGTGGTAAGCAAACACAAGAAAATAAATATGCTGAGCATTTCTTTGGATCCTTTCCCTATTATTTTGAGATCCACACTTGCACCCTTAGATTCCCAGGGTAGTGTTTTCCAAATGGAAAAGCTATTTGGAACCTATATGGAACATTAATGCATGAAAGAGATTAGACATAACATTACAGGGTGTATATATGATCCATTTGAAACACACCCATCGTCTGCTTCAGGTTGGCATCAATGTTCCCATTCCAGTTCCTTTACCCTTCTTCTCATTCACTGGCTCCAAGGCTTCTTTTGCAGGAGATCTCAATTTTTATGGTAATGCTATGTCTGCTTATGTAATGCTAACTAAATATTACTATTGTCTCTAGCTACATGATTTATTACACGTCTGTGTTTGTAAATCATTTTTACAATTATTTGTATATTTCTCTTCATCGTGCATGTTTTGTAACATTATCATTTATTTACATATAGGCAAGGCTGGGATGAACTTCTACACACAGATCAAGACTATAACCCAACAGTGGAAGGATTTGCCAGGTGGCTCTGCAGTGTCTCTTGCAATGCCAACTTCTCAGAAATCTTAATGTTAGGTTTCGTTGACTTGAGTGTTTTCATCTGAACATGTAATGCAACAGAAGAACATGCTGCCCCAGCCCGCCTCAAATAAATTTGAGGTGCTCACTAAAAGTTTCTTTGGATTAGGAATATAGTTTTTTCATTTTGTACTATTGGCATATTCTTTGAACTTACTTTTTTTAGTTTATAAGATTTTTAGATGTGTGTTAAATATTTATATAAAGACGAGTAAACATAAATCACCATGAAATCTACATCGGGAGAGTTCAAAACAGGGGCGTATCCGGTGGGAGAGGCAGGGGCTGCCTCCTCTTAGTTCTTTGTTATTTTCTATTAAACCCTGTTGAAACATAGCTTTAAAGTTTAAACTAGGGATGGACTGGGCCTGGGTGGCCCGACCTGGTCTGGCCTCAACTGCACTATTTATTTTAATTTTTTTTATTAATTGGGCGGTACCGACCCGGACCTGGTCCGGTACTATTTGGGCATGGAACGGAAGCAGTATCGGAGCAAACCGGGCCGGTATCGGGCTAAAGCGATGCAGAAAAAAACCTGCCGGGACCGGGCCTGACCCGACTTGGCTTGAGTCCAGCCCTAGTCTGAACTAGTCTAAGGATGTTTTCTTTTGGATTAGAATTTGCTGGTTTGGTGTGAACTGGTTGGCCAAAAGAAAACATCCTAATATGATCAAAGATAGTTTTGTTTAGCGCTTGGTGACTACAAAATTCCATTTAATTATTCTGTACGGTACGCAGTTATGCACAATCATATTTTTGCACAAACATAACATGCACAATACTAATTACTAAGTATGAGTTTCTCCTTTATACATACCTTTAAAGTATATATAAACTTGAACATAGTAATGCATCCATTGCCTTCATTTTAATTTTTAATTAGTCAAATACTTCGTATTCGTCATACTGTTTGTGAATCAAGTCAACAAAATATTATAATAATGCAATTCAGATCTCTCTACCAAGCTAGTGATTATACTCCTTCGGTCTTATAAAATTTGGTTAGATTTCAATTTTTTGTTCCAAGAAATCTTGTCATTTCCATTTATCGTAATGAATATGTGGTTAAAGTAGGGGTATGCACGATCTGGGACGGAATGAGAATTGAGTTGTTTCGGTACTGATGCTGGTTTATAATAGCGGTTTGGAATGGGACAAGATGTTATCCTTTTGTTGTCCAATACTCCAATTTAAACCGGTACAACGATAAAACGGGATGGTTCGGGATATCCCAAAAACCGTAGTGAAAAAATTGCAATCTAAAAAATGAAGCAAAACTATTTGAAAAAAACTAGCACAAAAAAACTAAATGAATAAAAACCCGCAAGTAATCTAGTAAATTGTGAGATAAAGATGCAACTTACCAGATTAGCTGCAAGAAACAAAAGTTGTAGGAAAAAAAACTCTTGCACAAAAAACTATCAAGAGATCTGTAAAAAATTGATAAAAGAATACTATAAGAGGTGAAACCTTTGAGAGTAAAAATTAATTTCTTTTTTGTAGATAGATGATAGTTCATAATTCATACTAGGTAGTTTAGTGTTTTTTTAGGTGTTTTATTGTTAAAACAACTAGTGTTTTAACAATCATTGGTATTTGGGATGTGAAAAAGGATACTTATTACAAAGTACTATTTGGATTAGATAATGAGTTGTTAGTAGGCTCATTAACCTACTCAAAGGTACAATTTTGGATTCGGGATAATAAGATGGAACGAGATATATTTTACTTTTCCCGATCCCATTTTATTTCGAAAAGGTTCGGGATCGGTACAGGAAAAAATAATGTGTCCCAAATATAAGTGGAAATTTTGGAAGAGAACCGTAACATTCCGGAATGAATCTACCATATTAATAGACATAAGAATGTGAATAAATAAAGGTAAAACCCACTACAATAATTGTGTTATAGTGTTCTCTTTAGGCACGTCCTGTTTCGTAATAGGAGGAATGTAGAAATGGTATTAGCTTAATTTTAAAAAGAGAGAATATTAACAAACTCTTTGGAAACTGCGTCATGCAAGTATGTGTGTGTGTGTGTTTTCCGATGTTTGCAGTCCACAGAAATAATTTGAAATGAATGGAGGCGTGTACCACACATGGTTACATTTACCCACACATGGTTACATTACACCCGTCAGAGTTTCCCGCAGATCCGAAAGTCCAACACACGCTTTGAATCTTTCAGGATGTGAATAATAAATCGTGAGTATAAGAAAATATAAAAGCTGAATAACAATATGCTCAAAAGTCCAATTGTATTAAGTAATTCGTTGATTACACTGGAAACTTCCCGAACGGTATGTCAGAATAGTGATTAATACAACAACAAGAATGAGAGAGCTATTCTAGGCCTTGAGTATCAAAATGCTAACCCTTTACAATGAGATTAATCCCTCTATTTATACTAATGGGGGGTATAGGGTGCTCCATGCTGATTGGTTGCTAATCCAGTCACTTGAATGCCCATCCTCCCACTCGCTGAAGTCACTTCATAGCAATAAATGCTCATTGCCACTTGCCAGCTATCCGTTGCCAGAACGAGGTGATGGAGCATGCTGAAACATCCTTGATCTGGCCCAAGTACATTGGTTGACCCGATCCCTGTTCGGGGCATATATCTCACTGGGCATGTGCTTCATCTGGATTCTGGGCTATTTATTGGACTGGATATTTTGGGCCTTTGGCCCGGGTATTGGCCTTCGGTCCAATATCCAACAACATCGTTTTTACTGACATTATATAGTTACAATCAATAGATATTACGTACTACTTCTGTCTCGGTGGACTTTGCGAAGTGCAAAGTAGGTGAGAAATAAGAAAAGTAAAAACTGTGTGGTTGAAATTTGAGTACAGGAGAGAGAAATGTGCAGAACCACAAATTAGTTACTTTAATTGTAGGGAAAAGGGGCAAATAAGGCCACGTACTAACAAAAAAAGGTCAAATAAAGCCTTATTTATGAGACTCTGTACGGACTTCGCCATTTGGGTTGGTTCTCGGTTGAATTTTTTGATGAATTTTTTTGAGCATCTTATTCAGTAAGTCTAGTTTACTCATACCAAATCTAAGCTAAAACTTCAATCTGGAAGCCATTCAAATGAATTCTTGAAGATAATTGTGCAGTTAAAAGCGCAGTTATCTTCAAGAATTCATTTAAATGCCTTCTCGATTAAATTTTTATCTGAAATTTGGTATGAGTAAACTAGACTTAATGAATAAGATGGTCAAAAAAATTAATCAAAAAATTCCACCGAGAACCACCCCAAATGACGAAGGCTGGACAGGGTCTCATAAATAAGGCCTTATTTGACCTTTTTTGGTTAGTACGTGGCCTTATTTGCCCCTTGTCCCTTAATTGTAAAGTGACAAAGTTTTTTTGGACAACAAAAAAGTAAAAGTTGACAAAGTCCAATGGGATGGAGGGAGTAATATATAGGAATAGGAATTTATTATTCGCACTCGGATAAGTCAATTGTGAGTGAGTGAGACGTTTATGTTAAGGTTCTTAGCCTGAGGATTGGGCCTCAGGACGCCAAAAAATTTAAAAAACAGGGGTTCAAAATTTTAAATACATTTATATTATATACTGTATAAATTAAAGAACCAGGGGCTACGCTGGTTGTGTAGCTTAAAACGTCCGCTAAAGAAGTAACAAATCGAGCGGAACAACAGAGTTATCAATCAGGTAGTGAAGTACAAACCCAAACTCCCGAATCTATCGAGATGTTATTATATATTTACAAAAAAATCTAGCTAATCTAGCTAATCTAGCTTTTCGACTGATTTGCTAATTTGATAAATTATTGATTTGTGAATGATAAAACAAACCAACTTATTAATTCCTGTTTTCTATTTGCGATAACTATTAACTACCAGAGTAATTCTTATATTATTGGTTGAGATTTGAAGTTTCTGCATAAACAAATGCTATTTAAAAACTAAAGCAAGTGGATTCTTGCTTGTTTTACCAAGTAGTCAAGTGGGATCATGCCTTGGTGAAATTTTTATATTTGAAAGTTGAGATCTTTTTTTTTATAAGATTATCAAGATTAAAAATTATGTAATTTTCAGTTCAAATTTAATGAAACTATATGCTTTGTATTTGTATAAAAAATATAAAGTGTAAAATTATTCATCGTTTAAAGTATTTTTTCCTAGAGGAAAAAAAATCTGTGATCGATGTTATGGATTATTTGAAAGAATGAATAGATGCTTTCCTAATACGTGCATTGCATACAAATTCTTGTTGATTATACTCGTGAAAGTAGCTAGCAAGCGTAGAAAGATAAACCAGGTACATATAAAAAAAGTAGCTAGCTATGTTATCGATCAATTGAGAAGGAATTTACTGAAAATCTTGGTTATGTCGAATTGTTTAATACTTTTGCATCTAAAATTGTTTGGCAAGTTATACTTACTCTTACCATAAAAATGGATGCATGAGCGGCAACACCTACGGAAAGAAATCCACCAATCCACATGTGATGTGTGGTTAGTTGTTTTAATTAATTAAGTATCATTGTATTATAATGTAAGAATTTTGTTTAAGTATTAAATTTTTGTGATATTAATCCTTTGTTTCCAAATATGATGTTGTTGGATTAATAGGCCCGACAAAGGAGCGGCCCATTACCCCTAGCAAGAAAACCATCAAGGTTGAGCTTGGGAGCGGCCCATCAAGGAAGCCATCCAGACGCTCGTCCTGTCATCGAAGACACTCGGCGTCAGTGTCCTCGGCCAAATAGAACCAGGTGATGACTCAAGAGCCTCAGGGAGAACAGCCAGCATAGACCGAGCAGAGCTCTGTCCTTGTGGTTACATGGGCCCAGAATTAGGGATGGACTCGGGCTGGGTCAACCGGACCAAAACCGGCCTGGCCCGGTACTGTTATGAACCAGCCCGGACCGGGGCCCGGGTTCCGGGCCGGGTGCATTATACCCGAACCGGGATTTTTCGGGCAGGGCTCCGGGTCTCTATAAAATGAACCGGCCCGGCCCGGCCAATTTTTTTCATTTTGTTTTTCAAAATCTTTGGGAGGTAAATGGGTTGGGCTGGGTGTTTTGAAGGGGTTTGGGGTGTAGGGGGGGGTAGGAAGTAATTAGAAAATAAAAAAATTAGGTAACCAGCCTGACCCGGCCCGGCCCGAACAGGACCCGGTAGCTTCCCGGGCCGGTTCTGGGCCTCCAGAATAAAAAAAAAGCCCGGTCAGGCCCGGCCCGAGGTTCAATGCCCGACCCGGCCTGAGGTATGAGGCCCGG